CGTGAAGTCCGAGCTGCAGAAGAGACACACGTGCACAGACCTGGGTGAACTGCGCAGCTACCTTGGCTTGCAGATCACCCGGGACAGAGCACAGCGCACCATTACCCTGACTCAGTCACACATGGTGCAGCAGGTCCTTCAGCGCTTCGACTTCACGTACTCCTCGCCTCAGGCCACTCCTCTGTCTACTCGCCACTTGCTCTCAGCTCTGCCTTCGGATGAGTCCGTAGAGCCGAGTGGCCCGTATCGAGAGCTTGTTGGCTGCCTCATGTACCTGTTGACCTGCACACGACTTGACCTTGCATACCCTCTTAGCATCTTGGCACGCTATGTTGCTCCTGGGAGACACTGACCAGAGCACATGGCTGCAGCGAAGAGGGTGTTGCGCTACTTGTGCAGTACGTCGGGCATGGGGCTAGTGATTGGAGGGCGGCGTTCAGTGGTCCTCACAGGTTACGTAGACGCTTCTTGGGCTGACAACCAGGCTACGCAGCGGTCGTCACCGGGTTACACCTTCAGCCTTGGTTCCGGCTCTGTTTTGTGGCGGTCTACCCGCTCGTCTTCTGTTCTCGGCTCCAGCTGTGAGGCTGAGATCTACGCGGGGGCCATGGCTGGACAGGAGCTACGCTGGCTCACCTACTTGCTGACTGACCTAGGAGAGCCACCTCGTTCTCCTCCAGTTCTGTACGTAGACAACAAGGCCATGCTAGCCTTGTGTCGGGAGCACAGACTGGAGCACAGATAGAAGCACATTGCTTTGCGCTACTTCCTTGCTCGTGAGCTGCAGCAGCGTGGTCAGCTGCGCCTTGCTTACGTGGCCTCTGAGGCCAACACTTCTGATATCTTTACCAAGGCACTTCCGCCTTGTGATCATCAGCGCTGCTGTACGATGCTAAGTCTTGTGCCTACTTGGCCTCGCTTGCTCACTTCTTGACCTTGCTTGTACTGTGATCTTTCTATACCTGCACTTGCTTGTTTACCTTAATATATGATCTTGCATGTGAACTGGCCTTGTGGCCTTGAACTTGTGCTCGGAATGTGTGGTGACGTTGTGATCCATCCTGAGCTTGCTTTGCTTTGCTTGACTGGTCCTGTGACCCCTTGTTCTCCCCCACTTTGCCTATGGGGGTGTGTCAGACTTATATGACTTAGCCTATGTAGGCTATAGTGGGGTAGCACATATGGGGTACAACACATTTCTAGGGTTTGTACTTGTACCCAACCTTTCCCTTTGTAAATCATTCCTCATTTCTTCACAAGATAACGTGTCCCAAAAATTCCAGGCGGTCCTGTAAAAACTCACACTTAGAAGCTTTTGTCAGTAGGCGGTTCTCACTCAGTATTTTAAAAACTGCCTCGATGTCCTGTAAGTGTTGTACGTTGTCAGGGCTGTAAATCAGTATGTCGTCCAGGTAGACTATGACGCACGTATCTAAGAGCGGGCGGAAAGCTTCGTTCATGGTCATTTGAAAAGTGGCGGGGGCGTTGGTCAGTCCGAAGGGCATGACGGTGTATTCGAAGGATCCGTAGCGTGTTCGAAATGCGGTCTTAGGGCAGTCGGGCGGATTGACGCGAATCTGGTGGTAACCCCCTCGGAGGTCGATTTCCGAGAAAACCCGGGCTGTGCGTAGTTGGTCGATCAGTTCGTCGGCTCGCGGGATGGGGTAACGGGATTTGATGGTAACCCTGTTCAGTGCTCTGTAATCTATGCACATGCGAAATCCCCCGTCTTTTTTCGATGTGAACAGTATCGGTGCTGCGAAGGGCGACGAACTTGGGCGAATGAATTCCTTCTCGAGCAGGTAATCGAGCTGCTTCCTCAGTTCGTCCACTTCGGGTTGGGTCAGTTGGGACTGTCGCTGTACTGTTGGCTGTGCCCCCGGTTCTCACTCTATCATGTGGTCGTGCGGTCGCTGAGGTGGCAGTCCTGTCGGTAAATCGTCCGGGAAAATGTCGCTGTACTACTTTAACAGTGCTGCCAGATCACTCGGTACGTCGGCCAGCAGTTTCTATAAATCCCCTCCTTTGTCTGCTGCCTCGGCTTCGCGTACACATCAGCCCCTGCCGCTACGGCGCGTTTCATTGTGATCGCGTTGACACGCACCGACGAAGACTAAGGTGAGCCCCAGCGAGGTAAGGCGATGTTGTTACCGTTCACTCGCACGGTGCAGTCACCCATCGTCCAGTCGATTCGCGGATTGTGTCGTCGCAGCCAATCACGCCCGAGTAAAATATCGGTTCCGTCGAGGGTCGTTGGGAGCATTTCCTGGCTAAACGTGAAGTTACCCCCACATCGAATCCGAACCCGGTCTACGCGTTCCCGTATCGCCAGCGGCGTGCCGTCTACCAGTCTTGCATCGATCTCAGGTAAACATCTGTCCAATGGCAATCGCAGTTTTTGTGCTGTGGCAGTGTTGATGAGGCTGTGGCTGGCTCCCCCGTCTACGAAGATTTTTACTAAGTCCGTCCCGATTTTCCCACTAAGCAGTATGGGGCTGTCTACCGTAGTACCCTCCTTATTCGGCCGGGTGTGGTCGATTGCGTGAACCGGCACAATCACTCGGTGAGGGTCGGTTGGGTCGGGCGAGCGGCGTGACCTGTCAGTAGAGTGCCCGTCTGCTACTGACTCCCAGCGTTTCCCTGCTGCTTGGTCTGTTTCTGCTGCTCAGCTTCCCCCTTTCCCTTAGCGTTTTCCGGGCATTCGTTCTTGCGATGTCCCGGCCGATTGCACGCAAAGCAGCGCCCTTTGAACGGTGCGGCAGTGGCATTTGCGGCGACGACACGTATCCTGGCGCCCTCGTTCGTCCCACGAGGTCGATGTCCCAAATGGCTGCTTCCGTAGGACCCCGGTCTCGGTCGGCGGAAGAAATCAAGTTTCTCCGCCATAGCGATAATTTCTTGAAAATCGGTGACGCCGCGAAGCTGGATTTCTTGAGCGATGTCCTTCTTCAGGCCGCCGATGTAGTAGTCGATGCGCTCGCTCTCGTGCATATATCCCACCTGCTCGCATAGCGCCAGAAATCTGCTCGTGTAGTCTTGGACGGAACCGAGTTGGCGCCAAGTGCGGAGCTTTTGTCGCGCCACGATCGAAGCCGCGATTGGCTCGAAACGAGCGTGCAGACCTGCGCACCACGCGTCCCACGTGCGATACTGGGGCACCTCCACGAAATATGACGGCGCCCAGGGTCCGGTTTGTCCTTCCCTTGTCGGTAGAGTCGCGTAGTCCGCCGGCTTCGTGACGATGACGCGCCACCAGTCCATGGCGGGTCCTCGCAGCAACGACACGACGTAACGAATCTTCGCCGTATCCTCCGAGACGTAGCTCGCGTCGAAGAAAACGTTCAACGTGAAGAGCCACGCCTGAACGGTAGGACCAGCCCGCTGACTTGGGTCGAAGCATGGCGGACGCTGCGGCTTTAGCGGCATCGGCGACGGAAGAGTTGATCCGCAGGCCGGCACTGAAATCGTGACTTGAGGCTGAGTCCTAGCCGCATTCGTCGCGTCGGGGTGTGTCGTGACGTGGTCGTCGTCTCCGTCATGGCGGACGACGCCATCACTTGCGGTGCTCGCGGGTTGCCCCACACTTCCGTGCTGTGATGTTTGTGGTGCGGGCTGAATCGGAGTGCCAGGTGCTTGGGATTGCGCCCGTGTGAGGTCGTTTTGCAGGGACGAGCGTTCTGCCGTCAGCATCGCGATTTCCTAGGCGCTCTCGCGGATTTGTCGCAGCAGATCGTTCAAGTGCTCCTGCGTGAGAGTCGTGACGTCGATGTTGTCAGAATGTTATTATCTAGCCTGTAGTGGGGTGCTCTATAGCGAGTACAACCTTGTTAGGGTTTTACTATATGTATCCCAACTGCTGCTAGTGAAACCCCTCCTCTCTTCATTTCTCTCTTGCCTAGCTAGCTAAACCCTAGCTTTGGCTCCTCACTCTACCTACTATTCTCACAGATGTGTTCAGCCATTTTGAAGGGCGTCGGCTCGTCTTAGTCTAGGCGCAGTCGTGGCTGCACGCGTTTACGAGAGAATGCGAGGACAGCGGCTCCTAGGTGCTAAGGTACGTGAGTCCCTTCGAGTGAAAAATCAAAAGTTGATTTCATGGGGTGCGGAGATGCGCGGTCCGAAAGAAAGGGGCTCTGAATACCAAGTGTTACGGGTGCAATGAATCGAAGTAGTGAAAATTGTACTAAGGTGTCAAACGAGTACAAAGATGTGAGCGAAGGCATGAGCGAACATTTATACGCGAAACATGCAAACGGTAACGCGGTGCGTGCGAGCTAGCTAGTGCTACCGTATACTGGCAGCGAGGCTCGGGCTAGTCCCGAAGCGTAGGCCGACACGGCCCGGCCAGCAGTGCGAGGTTTGGCAAAACAGTGCGCGCGAAGTTGGCGAAGTCCCGTTAGCAGTAACGGGCGAACAACAGCTGTTGCTGTACGCGATGTAGTCGGGCTCCGTAAGGAATGCCGAGAAAATTCCTTACAAGCACCCTTCCGGGAGCTGTAAATATCTGTATCGAGGACCTTCTCGCGCGTACAATGTTCCTCACACGCTGCGAATGTGGCGCAAAATGCCGTTTTTCTCCCGCATCGAGTCCCCCCGTTCTTCCCCCTCCCCCGACTTCACTGAGAAGCACCAACATTTGGCTTGGCATCTGCGCAAGACTGTGTGCACCCAACCTCTGCACGGCACAATTTCCAACTGGACCAAATATCTGGACTGGATGTCTATGTGTTCTAGACTTCACGTCCGCCTCTGTGTGCACCTATTGTTGTTCTTTCCTTGTTCTGCAGCAGATTTTGGCGGTGGGCGAACTATTAGCACCTCGAGCACGGCGCTCCGTCCCGGCCTAATTATCTACATATCATCAAGACGACTGCTTGCCCCCACTGCTTGTTATGGCTTCCGCGGCTTCCCTCACATCGGGACGAATTCCCGCGAATTTCGTTACAGATTTCCACCATGCGGCAATCCAACGGACTCCGTCAACCTCCGCTCGAAGCGTAATGCCCGTCGCCACCGCGCATTCCACGCATTCCGCGCGCTCCGCGTACTCTGCGGCCGCGGCACTTTCGTCCGCTGCGTCCGTGTCTCGCGCCTCGACTCCCCTCTCGCGCGAAAGCGGCGTCCGCGCGCCGTCCTCCCCCTGCGCGCCGGTTCGGCACGGCGCCTCCCGCCGTCTCGTCGTTAGCGCCAAGTACCTGGGCAAGTTCGGCTCCGCGCCTCCCGCGCCTATCGTGCCCTCCGCCGCCCCGGCCGCTGCCGCCGCCGCCAGCTCCGGCGCCGCTGCCGCCACGCGCTCTCCGCCCGCCAGCAACACGCTCCCTGCTCTCGCGCGCCAGCTTCTTCCGCTCACCGCGGCGGTCGTGATTCCCGTCGCCGCCACCGCGGCCGCGTTCGCCGCCGCGGGCTTCGGGGAACGCGACGCGTACCGGTGGTTTCGCAGCCTGAACCCTCCCTCTTTCGCGCCGTCCGATTGGCTGATGGCCGCCACGTGGACGGTGCTGCAGCTGCCAGCTGGCGCGGCGTCGTGGATGGTTTGGCGGCAAGGCGGATGGCCGAGGCAGCGCGGCGCGATGGAGATTTACTTGGTGCAATTAGCCGTTGGATTTCTTTGGCCAATCGTCATGTTCCGTCTGAAGAAGATCGACGCGGCGGCTGCAGTTGCAGGTATGGGGGGCTAATGGGTGGGTGGGAGGTAAGGTACGGTTTAGAGGTGCTGCCGTGGCTGGGCGAAAGGCGTTATTTGGTCTGGGGGGCTGGTGTGGCGAATTGTTATGTTTCGCGGGAAGAAGATTGGCTCCCTGGCAGGTAATGGGAGAGGTGCAGCATACAGCCCTTGTGAAAGGAAAGTATGGAACTGAAAAATGGGACTCTCCAGTTGTCAAGCTCAGAACTCTTATGGAATAGAAGGGCAGGGAAGGCACCAGTGAACGGGATATAAGCGCCAATATGAGTTGAAATTGGAAATGCAACGCAATTTTACTCCATTCGTCTCCGTCAACTCCTTCGCAAAGGTGAGACGTAAGGCACCATTGTGAACTTTAAACGGGATTTTCAAGCGCCAATCTCAGTCGTTACTTGTAAATGCAATGCACATTTTTCCTCCATTCATCTCCTTCACCTCCATTTCATTCCTTCCACCGCATTGCCTCTTGCTCGCATCTCCCCTCACAGCTCCTCTCGCCTCTCCCCTCGCCTCTCCCCTCGCCTCTCCCCTCGCCTCTCCCCTCGCCTCTCCCCTCGCCTCTCCCCTCACCGCTCCTCTCGCCTTTCCCCTCGCCTCACTTCTCGCCGTTTCTCAGCTTCATGTCTTTTACCCTGGTCATGGTCCCCTCCCATCCTCTCCCCTCCCTCCCCTCCCCTCCCTCCTCCTCCAGGCGCCCTCACCGTCTCCTCCCTCTCCACCTTCCTTGCCTTCTACCGAGCCTCGCCCGTCGCCTCACTGCTCTACCTCCCGATGCTCGTCTGGCTCGGCCTTATCTCCGCAATCACCTACTCCATCTGGACCAATCACAGCGTGCTCCTCGACAAGCTAGAGTGGGACGATGTGCTGGCGACTGCTAAGAAGATCTGGAGGGATATCCGGGGGCTGACTGGCAGCGGTGGCAGTGGCAGCAGTGGTAGTGCAAGCAGCGGCAGTGGTGGCGGGGGGAGTGGGTGGGGTGCAGGGGGGTGGGATGGAGGGGAGGAGGGGGGGAGTGCGTTTGGGTGGTCTGCTGCTCCTAGCAACCAGAACAACCGCCGTGATTGATTGTGCTGTTTTGGGTTCTATTCTGGCCAGCTTGTTCCTGTTGGTCATTTGAGAAATGGCTTGTTTTGTGTAGTAATAAACTTATTATCTGCTTAGCTATGCAGGCTTCGGTTCAGATAGGGCATGGCTGTGCTGCACTGGAGGAGCGAAGAAAATGTTGTGCATTAATAAGGGGTGCACGAGTGGCGAAGTGTCAGAATGTGTTATTCCTATATAATTGTATGTCTAGTTGTCAGAATGAGAACTACAGCGGAATGAGTTGTGTTGACAGAATTGGGGTACATCACCTTGTTGGAAATCCGAATACAGTATAACGAATACTGTATACCAGTGTGCTGTTTGGTTTTAGTGTAGTCCTCTTTATAAGCTTCCAGGTCCTACAATTATTGTAGGGGCCAGAATTATTGGAGGTCAGCATTATTGGAGGGTAGAGGGTACAATTATTGGTACACCATTATTGGTGTGAATGGGTCATTCTGGAGGGGTAGCTGGATGCATATATACCCTGCTGTGTCACATCATTGAGTACTCATTGTGTCATCCTTTTACTTTTCAATGATCAATGCAAGATTTCTATCTTGTCCTTTTCTACAAACACGTTTCCGCTACGCTGGCACTATGCCTTTCTAGCATGGTATCAGAGCTACTCTGGGGGGCATGCTGCCAAAACTGGTTCAGGAATTTACTGGCATACAGTTTGGATAGGTACTCGCATACAGTCGGAGTACCGCACACCCGGTCTACGCTTTCGTACACCTGGTGTTCGCTGTTGGTTACAACCGCGCGTTTACCGCACACTTGGTGGACGGTTTTGTCAAGGTCATGGCGCACTTCGATGGCGAAGTGGATCCTGGATATGCGGCTTTTGAAGAAGCCATCATGGCTCAGCATGAGCACCTGGAAAGCATGATTGCAAGGGCACCACCAACTCTCCAAGCTTCGTTAAGGGACAAGTTTGGAATGACAATCCAGCCAAGAGCAAAACTCTCTCATGAGTTCAGCAATCCGTCCACCCATGGACAGTCTCATTCAAGCACTCCACGTACTAACCAAACTCGTGCAAATGTTCATGCAGGAATTGATGGTGAAGGGGAAATGGGCATACCTCAAGGAGGAGAGTCATCCCAATGGAGGGATGCATCCGTCCAAGGAGAGGAGATCGCCAATTCCGCACCTCAATCATCCATGCAAAGGGAAGCACGGGGGAGGAATGATGAGTATCGGAGTGCAGTGCTTGGTGGAACGAGAAGTGGACAGATTGGGCATCAGGGTGACAGAAATGGTGAAGTGGGCGTGGAAGGTGTGGGATTTGCCTCCTACACTATTGGTGCTCCCCCACTACGACGACTTGCGACTAACTCTCATCCCATTGGAGTTCTTCCCATGCCCAGGTCTCACCTTCATGGCGACAACATCATCCCTCCACATGCACATCATCCACCAATCAGCGCACACTCTGTGGACAGCATGGGGCGGATGGGATACGGAATGCAGTCAAGTGGTGTCATGCGACGGGATCAAGTGGAAGTGCTGGAACGTCAACTTGGTGGACAGAATGGAGATATGCGGCGCACGGTACAGCTACCTCGACCGTCAACCATGCCTACTCTCTTCGACCCCGCACCACGTGAATATACGGACGAAGACAAGGAACGACTGTCACGCAAAATGGTGGGAGCAACGGTGGACAAGGCATTCACCACCACTCCGTTTGACGGCTCAAATTTCCGCGAATGGGCACTACGGTTTCGTATGAACGCCCGCGTCACGAATCTGTGGGAGTTCTTTGTGACCCTCCAGTATCCGGTTACCATGGGAGATGGTGACATTGACGACGCTATGGGGCGGCTGGAAATGCTACAGGCGGATTACTCCCAGCGTGCGGCACTCGCCTTTTGGGTCCTATTGCACAGCGTGAGCGCCACGATTCAACTACAGCTAGACATGTTCCAGGAATCCTACAGCCCGGCTTATGAAGCATGGGAGTATTTGATGGACACTTACCAGGCCAAAGATTCGGTGGCGAAGGTCTCTCTCTTGAAGCAGTTGGACAACCTGAAAATGGGGAACACCGAAAGGGTGGAGGAGTACGTCAACCGCGCAACAGCAATCCGGGACAAGTTAGCACTCGCGGGGAAGATGGTGGATGAAGATACCTTCACCTTAAATCTGCTCACCGGACTACCAGTGCATTGGGAGGAGATGAGGCACTCGGCAATGCTGCACAACGTGACAGACAGCTTCACTTTGCAGCGGATGATGATTCGGGAGCAGAGATATCACGATCTCATCACAAAGGATAACCGTGACCGGCGTCCACCTCGCATGGTTGGACAAGCACGTGGAGACTGCTCACCTTCTCCAACTGCAAAGGGCAATAACGGGAAGGAGGGGTCAATTGGGGAGAAAACGCATGGCAAGGATGGAGATGCAAGTCGCTCATCTCTCGTGTGTTGGTACTGCAAGGAGCCTGGCCACCCCTTCTTCAAGTGTACCAAGGCACCCCCTGGGTGGATACCACCAGGGTGGGAACCGCATACCCGCGGAAAGGCAAAACTGCACACCAGCGACAGCCGTTCGTCCTCCCCACGAAGGAGTTGCAGCCCCAAACGTGACAACAATGCATCAAAACAGCAAGGGGCAGCCGGGGAAGACAAACAACGTACTGTTACGTGCATTGCAATGATGGGATCGTCACAAGCTACCTTACCGCCAGCTAAAGCGTCATCTTGGATGCTGGATAGTGGATGCAGCCAGCACATGACTTCGGACAAGAGCTGGTTTGAAGAGTTAAGGGAGCTGGACGAACCTGTTTATGTGGAGCTTGCTAATGGGAGCGAGCTGAGCAGCAAGATGACAGGAACGATCAGAGCAACGGCACCTGATGGGACAACAGTTCGGTACACTGACGTCCTCTACGTACCTGGCTTGAAGAGTAACCTGCTCTCCTATTGTCAGCTGCTGAAAAAGGGAGCGCACATCAATACAATTGCTAATGGAGACACGGAGGTCACCATGAAAGATGGAGAGGAGTACGTGCGGATTGGATTTGCTAAGAACGTGGATGGAGTGCTCGTGGTGCAATATGCGCATGCACTTACATCCGCCCATGATCCTGGACATTCCCGTTATGACGCGTCATCGCATCAGGTTGATCGTGAGGGGGTTACCCTTTTCCGCACACCTGGTGTGCACATTGACGCACATGAGAGCACGGATTTCCGCACACCTGGGATGCAGTCGAGTGGCAAGTCTGCACATGCCTCTGTCACATACCGCCTGGCGCACAAAGCCTGCATCGTGCGGAATCCGGCACATGATGTTGATACGGATGAAGTCTCACCCCACTGTGTGGTGTGGACTTCAGGGGGAGGAGGCCACAGGTCCGTAGTGGATTCGGTTCCTGCATTCTCGACCATTGAAGGACATGAAGGCGAAGGAGCAGAATATGCAAAACAAGACTTACCTGGAGCTGATGTAGCTGATGAAGTCAGTGCAGTTGAAGGAAGCGGAGGTACAGCTGATGGCGTATCTGTGACTGGTGTTTCCATTTCGGAAGGCGTGGAAAATGATGATGTGGGAAATGAGGTGGACAAGCCAAGCAAGCAGCATCTCACCTGCCATTTGCTGGTTGGTCAAGGCAATCATCAAGTCAAGGATTCTGGTGTTGTACTCACCTGTGCGGCCACCTCGAACGGTGCGGCACAACATGGCATCACCTAACTCCACACTCACTCATGTGCTTGTAGCTGTGTACGCGGATCACTACAAGCACATGGGTGGCGGGAGGTGGGGTGTGGAGTATGTCTGGTGGCATAAGTGTGGGACATGGAGTCAAGAAGCATAAGGGGAAGACCTACTCACCAAGGGTTGCCAAATAGGCAGGGGGAGCAGGAAGAATGAATGCAACCGGTCGTCATACGTCGTGCTTCAGTGGTATTGTGGTATTGGTTGCAGCAGATGAACGGTACCACCTGAGGGAAGAGTGGATAATATACATGGGAGCACTGCGTACCTGGTGTGCACAACTCTGCATACTTGGAGTGCGCTACATTCTTGGAGTGCACAACACTGCATACTTGGAGTGGACATTTCTGCATACGTGGAGTGCAGAGTTTGGGATACTTGGAGTGCGTCGGCATGCACAACTCTTTAGCTGATGGAGTTCGGCAACTCCGACTGCTACCGTGTGCCGGCTGGAGTGTATGGGGAGCATCACATGACAACATAGGTGAAGTTTGAGCAAACTTGGCATGATTGCCAAAGCATGGGGAGAAACTGTCGCGCGAAGTGTGCGCCCACCAATGCAGTTCCGCGCCAGCCGCACACCCTGTGTTATCTGCTACCGATTCGCGTCATCCGCAACTGCAGTGGTCGCAGACGCGCATCCACTGCGGTTTTGCGTCGTCGCACAGGAGGCGTGCGAAAAAGACAGCAGCACTGACAATCGCGTGTAGTCAAGTCTACGGTTTCGGAAATTCGGTGTGCGCTAAGGGCAATCCGCCATGACGATCTACGCATTTCGCCATGGTTACGAGGAGATTTCGTCATGGAGCTGCTACTATTTCCTCAGTAGCAGCCACTACGCGCTGTATCTAGATCTGGAAAGTCGCCAGTGGAAGGAGGGATTGGAAAACATCAAGGGAGGAGGTTTGGTTGGAGTTTGAAAGCACCAAAGGCTTGGGGGGAGAAAGGTGCTACAGTGACGAGCAGCTTGGCCACCACCAAACCCTAGCTTGGTTTGGGCGCACCCCTACCTAGTGGTGGTATACCACCTCGACCACCCCATCCTCCAAGGAAATCGGATTCACTAAAACCTACAGCAAGGGGGAGTGTTGGAAATCCGAATACAGTATAACGAATACTGTATACCAGTGTGCTGTTTGGTTTTAGTGTAGTCCTCTTTATAAGCTTCCAGGTCCTACAATTATTGTAGGGGCCAGAATTATTGGAGGTCAGCATTATTGGAGGGTAGAGGGTACAATTATTGGTACACCATT